CCATATATTGTAAACAATAAGGTGTCACTTCAGCAGTTTGACGGCGCAGTTTTCATTTCTATGAAAGTTTCAAAGAGGCAACATATCCCATTTGCACATATGCCGACGGCATTTTCATTTCGGTAATATGAAATGTAGAAGAGCATTGTCACAATTATTATATAGTAGTCCAAAAATATGAATTCTCATTTTTCCAGAAATACGTTTGTGAAAAAAAGGATCTTTCTTCTTTGTTATTATCTTATTTTTCCCAGAAATACATATGTAAATTTTTTTTCCTCATAAAAGCTACATCAGCTACCTACCCGACGGCATTTCGCAATGTGATAAAATAAATTTTTCAAGAGCTCAAAGCATGCGCTACATCAGCTCGAACCTAAATACCCTACGGCTTTGCGAAAGTGATTATGTTATGAGATCAAATCCCCACATACAGATTTGGCAATGGCAATAGCAATAGATTTGACAGTTAGTACGACATGGATTTTATCCTGTCGAGATGCCCCGTTAGCGAGAGCGGCAACTGTACTAACTGTATTGCCGTGCCTATTGCCTGTGGAGACTCCATATTGCTTATTTCTTACAATATATGGATTACTAATTAGTTTGCCATATATTGTAAGAAATAAGCTGTCACTTCAGCAGTTTGGCAGCGCAGTTTTCATTTCTATGAAGATTTTGAAGAGGCAACATATGCCATTTGCACATACATGTGCTGACGGCATTTTCATTTCGGTAATCTGAAATTTAGAAGAGCGAGTATTAAGACGGTTTTGTTATATTTTAAAAATAAAGTACATTTTCAAAATAACATTTTTCCAAAAAATTTAGTTTATTATTATTAATTTACAAAATAGTAATGCAAATTGGGTTGAGAATGAGCGAAGTCTTAAATTTAATATACTTATACAAGTATTAATCAAAATATCATTGCTCATTTTAAATTTATTATTTTAATTGGTATACAAAATTTATGCCGCATTTATTATAAGTAGTCTAAAAATATCACTTCTTATTTTTCCCAGAAATACATTTGTAAAAAAGGATCTTTCTCCTCTTTATTTTCCACATAAATGATTTCAACAGTTCAAGAGCTCAAAAAAATTTGATAAAATACATTTTTCAAAAGCTCAAAGCATGCGCTACATCAGCTCGAACCTTTCTACCCTACGCCTTTGCGCAAATGATTGCGTCAAGATAACAAATGCCAACATACAGATTTGGCAATGGCAATAGCAATAGATTTGACAGTTAGTATGACATAAATTTTATCCTGTCGAGATGCCCCGTTAAGTAGAATTTCTCTAATCGTAAACCGGATCTTCTTAGTACTTTCGGCTTTGAGTGTAATGCTTTTAAGGCTCACTCTCGTTTCTCGCGCAATTCGAGCTCTTTGTCTGCAATGAGTGATTGAGGAATGACATCGGCCTGCAGTAGTAGTTGTAGTCTTCAAGAACGTTTTTTGGTCCTTTCCCCATATGCCAGCCAACGACTTGAGTGTATAAGGAGAGAAGGAGCATAGACTGTCAAAAATCGCACCTAAATTTTTAGGATGACAGTCGGAATCTTAACTTAATGTGTACTCCTTGGTCCGGTTAGTGAATTTGACCGCTGTTTGGTGGAAGCGAAAAAGATCGGCACTAGTTATATAATATTTCAACGCCACTAATTTCTTAAATTTACCGTTAAATAACTGTGGTGACAATGTTGGGGGCAAAATATTTAATTCGACGTTTTGGTCATCAAAATATCTGGCCACACTGCTTTGACATGTTCACAATAAAGCGTTTAATTACTTATTTTGCCAAACGCATTTCGAAGTCGAGACAGCTGGATTTGACAGCATTAATTTATTTTATTAGCTGACTTTCCCACTAGAAAATTCATACGTGTTTTTCCTCGACTATCTGTGTTTTCGCTTTTGTTGAAATAAATATATTCGCTCACTTTGTAGCAATATGACTGACTATCTATTCAATGAACGTGCTTATGCCAAAATAATTTTCCATGCTGCCAAATATCCACACTTGGCCGTTAATGGAGTTCTATTAAGTGAGAAGACACCGAAAGGCAACACAGTGCAAGTAGTTGACGCGATACCACTATTCCATCAATGTCTCTATGTTACACCAATGGCAGAGATTGCGCTTACACAGGTATACAATTAGTGTAATATATAACTTGCGAGACTTTGATTGAGATGTATTATTGTTCTATTTCAAGTTTAAGAATTATATGATTCTATTACTTATACGCTCTTTTTTCTTTGTTGCAAAGGTTGACGCATTCGCCGAGCGCGAAAATTTGATTGTAGCCGGCTACTATGTAGCTCCAGAGAACCTGTATGACAGCAGCGTAGAAAAGGCACCCGCGGCGAAAATCGGTGAAAAAATTCTTGAAACTAACAAAAATGCTTGCTTCGTAGTAGTAGACAATAAGTTAATGCGCTTGAATCATACACAAGCAGCATTGAAAGTATTTAGTAGTAGCGGAGAGTCCGCGCGTTGGTCAAAAGCTAACTACACACTCGCTCAGCAGAAAATAACGCTACAAACTGTATCAGAGTTGTTACAGCGCGGAGCTATGCGTGAAGTGGTGGACTTCGATAATCATTTAGATAATCCAGCGAACGATTGGACGAATCAACACTATAACCGGGATTTAAAGCAGCTTATGGCTATGTACTAGTTCTATAAAGAGGTATTAAATTGACAGGGGGTCAAGGTGTCTAATTGTAGCGTGCAATTTTGGTAATAGAGTCTCTATGCATTTCTGTTTAAACGTATTTGTTTGATAGTATTTTGATGAAAATATTAAAATATCTATGAAACCTAGCTAAAGAAATAAATAATACATATATAATTACATGATAAACGCGCTTTTCTAAAGTATTTATTTTAAATTTCATCTATTTTCTGAGCATTGACATTTTAGTTTGAAAAATTTGCACAGGTCTGCCTTACGAATACATTCCGCTTGAGTAAAAATTCCGTTAATAAATCGAATTTAAAGCCAAAGGCGCACCTGCTGATCCCAGCTAGTAGATGCAAGGCACATGCCATTCGGTGAGAGGCCAATGCATGTGATGCGATTTTCATGACCTTGTAGCATTGCTGGAAATTATTAAATATAAATGTTATTTAATCATATTTTTTAGCGGCGTTCAATGTCGTAGTTTACCATTGTGTGAAACTTTAACTGTATCCCAAGCATGAATGTTTCCCTCAATTCCAGAACACATCAAATAGCGTCCACTGGTTGATAGAGCTATACAAACATAAAACATATTTATAAAAAAAACAAGAAAAATTTCTTCATATACCGCACGAAGTGAAGCCTGTGTTTTTCTGCGGTGGCTCGTATTGGGCTATTTGCTGATCAGATCGTATATCATAAAGACGCGCTGTTTGGTCCTCAGAGCAAGAGGCGAACCCAAAACCACTTGGATGATACTATAAGAAAATATAATGTGTGATCTTTGTATAGACATTATGTTGTGTGGTATGTAATATATAAAAATATTACTTACGCAGACAGAATTTACGTCCATTTCGTGACCGAAGAACATTTGCTTGTATGTATCTTCACGTACATCCCACAGTTTCGCTGTCTTATCTACTGAACCTGTTATATACGTCTTCATGTCGGGCGAAAGACTTAAACCAGCAATATCACCAGCATGCCCGTTGAAATCCATTGTTTTCACACCCTTCTCCAAGTCCCAATGACAACTGCAAATATTTGAGTTTTATATCCCGAGCCGTCTTTAATTGTAATCAATTATATTACATTTTCATATCACCCGAGCCCGTTATTAAATGTCCGTCATCTAAGAATCGACATGAACTCAAAAAACCCTCGTAACCCAAAAGTTCTCGTGTCATTTTGGCGACGCCAGAAGCATCTCGATTATTTACATCATAAACTGTGCACTGATTATCCATACCACCACAAGCGACAAAGTTGCCCGATGGAGAGAAAGCGACTGTCATAACCCATGCCGAACGCAGAGGAATAACCTAGAAAAACAAAATACCCAATAAATGGATTTCAAAAAATTAACAAAATGTAAGTAATTAAGAAATTGTACTTTGTACCTGAACTTTGTTTGCCGTCCACGTATCCCATATAATTAGTTTTCCATCCAACGAACCAGTGACACAGTGTCGAGAATCGCCAGCAAAGTGTACAGAGTTGACTTTGTTTATGTGACCTTTCAGAATCTTCTTCGAACTGAGTCTTAATTTAGGTACATCACCCATATCACCACATTTTTCCTGCCATGTACAGTCAGCTTTGGCCTTTTGATCGTCCTAGAGAAAGTAAATGTGATCAGTTCGCTTCTTTATTTAATTAATACACACCGTGTAATATATGTAATTAAAATTATAATAAGTAATACTTTTATGCAATAAAATGCTTTGATAAATGATTGAATATGTTCATTATGCCTTAATTTGTTTAACTTCAAGGCCTACCTTGAACTTTTGAATCATTCCATTAATCTCATCGTGAAGTTTTTGAGTTTCAGGATCAATTTTAGGCATTTTGAGTTATTTAATTGTTTTTGGTATTCTTAATTAATGTATTTAATACAGTTTACAATGAAATAAACTTATTTACACTAACACTTTTTACTGACCGCCACTACCTATTCAAAGTCAACGTCTGCATGCCAACTGTTCTACGAAAAGTTTTTGAAAATTTTCACTGTTACGATATTTGCGCCGTTATAAAAAAACCAAAACATTAATGCAATTAACTAATTGGATTGAAATTTTAGTGGGAAATATAGGGCGAGAGTGCATGCGCAAACCGAAATCGAAGGGTACTTTTTTCATGACCACCATCGAAAAGCAGAAGAAACGACATTAAGCCAGAGAACGTAAAGTCAGACAGAGAACGTAAGGAATTCGCCGCATTTGTTAAAATTGTAGGTCGGAATTCGCCTCACAATCTTAACATTTTTTACAATTCTCTCACATATTATAACAGAGAAAATGAAGAGAAATAAATACAGTAGAATCGCGCAAAAGTTAACTCGCGAGAAAGTTAAACTTTCGGCTAAGTTTACCGATTTTGAGCGTCCACGTACTGCTCTAAAAAGTTAACTTCGGGTTAAAAAGTTAACTTCGGGTTAACTTTTTTGAACTTTTCTATTTTTTCAAACCCAACCGTTTGTTTGGCAAGAAAAACAAGCTCGGGTATTCCCCTCATTGCTATGTATTCCCCGAATTTCTATGTAAAAAATTATAGTCGGTGTAGCGAGGTACATACATACGTAGGGTGTCATGAGCGTTTAAACTTGCGAGTTGTTTATGGTTAGTGTATTAAAAAATGCCAACAAAGCAGAGAAAATCGTTGCAAATCAGATTAAATTTGCATCAAAAAGCTGAGATTTTAAGAAAACTCAATGAAGGTATTCATGGAAATCGATTGGCGTTGGATTATAATGTATCTAAGGCGGCCATCTCAAAAATAAAGAAAAAACGTCATGAAATTTTGGAGGCAGTGGCAAACACACATGAAGCTGCAACCAAGAAAACTTTACATAAATCGGAACATCCCGTTCTTGAGGCAAGGTTGTAGAAATGGTTCTTAAGCCAAAGACAGTGTAATTGTGCAATGAGTGGTTCAATTTTAAAGGCAAGAGCCAAGCTCGAATTTGCCAAATTGCACACAGGAAAACAATTTCATGCAAGTGATGGATGGCTTGCAAATTTTAAGAGAAGATTCGGTATTCGCCACCTGGCCGAAAAATAGCAAAGGATAGAATCACATTTATGTTGTGTGCGAACGTAGATGGTTCGCATAAGTTGAAACCATTGATAATTGGTAAATCCGCAAACCCCCGTTGCTTGAAGGGGTTTGAAAACCCATTGGAATATGCCAACTCGCAAAAGTCTTGGATAAATTCAGAGCTATTCTTCCGCTGGTTCCATCATTCCTTTATTAAGCAGGTAAATTTATTTTTTCTATCCTTTAAAATTTTTAAGTGTGCCAAAATATTTGTAAGGTTCGCAAATTTTCTGCTGAAAATAATTTACCACCAAGGGCATTATTGCTGATTGACAACTGTACTGCACATAAACCAATTGACAAGTTACAGTCAGATGATGCAAACATTGCGGCAATGCTTTTACCACCTAACGTGACAGCTGTTTTGCAGCCCATGGATCAAAATACCATAAGACTGGTCAAGTTAGAATACCGGGCTAAACTGTTATGGAACATTGTAGCACAAGAAAACATTCCGGTTGAGAATATTTTGAAAGGACATTCAATTCGTGATGCCATCTTGCTGCTTAAATTAGCGTGGGATGAATTGCCAAGAGCTGTGCTTATAAAAGCTTGGAAAAATATAAAACAGTGGGACGATGATCAATACGACAGCGAAGACGAAATTCCATTGCTTACATTGATTAGATCAAATAGTTCTCACGATGTTACACTTCGAGAGGTACAATCGTTATTGTCCAAGGTGGGTGGTGTTGACGTCAGCAGTGAAGACATCGAAAATTGGAACGACGATCAAAATACGGAAGATGATGAAGATTTCGAAGTGTCTGACAATGAAGATTTCGAAGTGTCTGACAATGAAGATGAAGAACCAGTTGTCGAGGAAGATATGCAACAACAGAAAGTCAGTTTTTCCGAAGCAGTTGAATGCATCAATACCTTGATAAAGTGGTATGAAAACAATAATGATGCAAATCAGATAGCACATCTTATTAATATGCGTACGAAAATTGTCAGGAGCTATTACACAAAAGAAAAGAAACAAACAAGTCTCGACCGCTTCTTTAAACCAGCCCTTACAAATTAATATGTACATATGTATTTATGTATAATGTGAAAAAGTACAAACTAAATCTAAGTTTATGTTTTGTTAAGAGTAAAAGTCAGTCATACAAATAAATTGAACGTATTATATCATCAAAATTATGTTTATTTCCGTGTTTTTTTTTCAAAATCGAAACCCCTTTGGAAAAGTTAATATTTCAGAAAAGTAAAACACCCTTGGGACATTTTGGTTAACTTTTTCGCGATTCTACTGTATTTACGGCATGGCATATATGCCCAAGCAGAGAATATGAAGAAACTCCCAACGAAGAATCAGAGAATTTAAAACATAGAGAAGGTGCAAATTGAATCAGAGAACTTAAAACATAGAGAAGGTGCAGGTTCGATGTCGAACAWTTTATAAGATTGTGATARGGAATTCACCTCACAACCACAGAATTCACGATGTGAAATGTTAACATTTTTAACAGTTCTCCACATACTCAAACAGAGAATATGAAGAGAAATAAATATATGTATTTTCGGCCTATAATGACATGCCATATATGCTCAAGCAGAGAATATTGAAGAAAAATAAGTTCTTTGATTTTCCACTTTTAACAGCGAAAAATGTGTTTAAATACAGCTCTCTCACATACTTAAGAATATGAAGAGACATAAATGTATGTATGCATGCTCCTTATGATACTCCCAACAACAGCATTGTGATATTTCCATGCTTCAATTTTTGCCGTCGGCATGTAAAAATAATTATGATATGAGTATAATTTTGTATGAATGCATGCATAG